GAGACCAGACGAGACGTACCGAAGCGAAACGAAACCAAACGAGGATGAAAATAAAAGAGAAGAGAAGAGAAGCGAAGAGACCAGACCGCTACAAGAGAAGAGGAGAGGAGTGTGATAAAAACAAAAGAAAGAGAAAGAGTTCCAAAAAGCCGGTAAAGAAAAAAAAACAAAAAACGAGCGGGAACACCTGACAGCCCCGAATGAACTTCAGTCTTCCACTCTCCACCCGGCCTCCACTTCAATTCCACAATCTCATCCACTATTCGAGCTCCACGCATATCTTCGTCTACCGCTACGATAATCCGTTAAATTTACATCCTTTTTTTATCCCGTCAGTGATTGTTGCCACAGCTGTTACCGGTGGACTATTTATGATTGCTAAACAAAACGAATGGGGTTAGAAAGAGAGAGAGAGAGAGAGAGAGAGAGAGAGAGAGAGAGAGAGAGAGAGAGAGAGAGAGAGAGAGAGAGAGAGAGAGAGAGAGAGAGAGAGAGAGACAGACAGACAGAGAGAGATACAGACAGAAAGAGAGAGAGAGAGACAGACAGAGAGAGAGAGAGAGAGACAGAAGAGAGAGAGAGAGACAGAAAGAAGAGAGAGAGAGAGAGAGAGAGAGAGAGAGAGAGAGAGAGAGAGAGAGAGAGAGAGAGAGAGAGAGAGAGAGAGAGAGAGACAGAGAGACAGAGAGACAGAGAGACAGAGAGACAGACAGACAGAGAGAGAGAGAGAGAGAGAGAGAGAGAGAGAGAGAGAGAGAGAGAGAGAGAGAGAGAGAGAGAGACAGACAGACAGAGAGAGAGAGAGAGAGACAGACAGACAGACAGAAAGAGAGAGAGAGAGAGAGAGAAAGAGAGAGAGACAGACAGACAGAAAGAGAGAGAAAAAAAAATGTAAATAGAAACAGAGAGAAAGGGAGAAACGGAAAGAGAAACAGAGAGTGAAAAGAAAAAGAAAAAGAAACCGAGACAAAGAAAGGGGGAGAGAAGGAGATAGAAACAGGGAAGAACGAGGTAGGAAGAGAGAGCAGGCAGAGTCTTTGTCTTCTCAATTCCGCTGCTGCCCGAAGGTACACGGGGTGGGGGTGGGGGGTGGGGGGGTGACCGGTTAGGGGGTCTTACGGGCAGGTTTTTCCTTCTAGCGAGTGAGTGCGTGAGTGAGTGAATAGGTGAGTGAGTGAATGAGTGCGTGAGTGAATAAGTGAGTGATTGAATAAGTGCGTGAGTGAGTTAGTGAATAAGTGAGTGAGTGAATAAGCGCGTGAGTGAGTGAGTGAATAAATGAGTGCGTGAATAAGTGCGTGAGTGAATAAATGAGTGCGTGAATATATGCGTGAGTGAATAAGTACGTGAGTGAATAAGTACGTGAGTGAATAAGTGCGTGAGTGGGTGAGTGCACGAGTGGGTGAGTGAATAAATGAGTGAGTAAATGAGTGAGTAAATGAGTGAGTGAATAAGTGCGTGAGTGGGTGAGTGAATAAGTGAATGATTGAGTGAGTGAGTGAATAAGTGAATGGGTGATAGAATAAATTAATGAGTGAGTGCGTGCGTGGGTGAGTGAGCGTAGAAATGTGTGTCTTTTCTGCCAAGTGGGTGTGCCTTTTGTTATGCGTCTGGGCCAGGTGTCTGTGCCTCGTATGTCAAGTGTATGTCAACCGTATGCGCCACATGTGTGTCAAACGTATGCGCTACGTGTTTGTCTGTGTCAAGGGCGTGTGTCACGTATCTGTGTCAAGTGTCCTTGTCAATCGTTTGTGTCAAGTGTCCTTGTCAATCGTTCGTGTCAAGTGTCCTTGTCAATCGTTTGTGTCAAGTAAGTGTCCTTGTCAATCGTTTGTGTCAAGTAAGTGTCTTTGTCAATCGTTTGTGCCATGTGTCCTTGTCAATCGTTTGTGCCATGTGTCCTTGTCAATCGTTTGTGCCATGTGTCCTTGTCAATCGTTTGTGTCATGTGTCTGCCATGCCTCCGCGACGACCCTCGTACCCCGCGCGACTGGCAGGAGCGCGCGTGACACTCCTCGTGGTTGCCTGATCCTCTCTCTCGACCGAGTGTCAAGTGTCAAGTGTCGCTGCACCAATTTACCCCTCCGTCCCATCGCCCCTCCTCCTCGCTCTCTCTTTTAGGCGATTATAAACTCCTCTTCCCTCCAGTCTCTCCTCTCTCCTCTTCCCTCCAGTCCCTCCTCTCTCCTCTTCCCTCCAGTCTCTCCTCTCTCTTCTTCCCTCCAGTCTCTCCTCTTCCCTCCTCTCTCGCATCTCTCCTCTTCCCTCCTTTCTCGCATCTCTCCTCTTCCCTCCTCTCTCGCATCTCTCCTCTTCCCTCCAGTCTCTCCTCTCTCCTCTTCCCTCCAGTCTCTCCTCTCTCCTCTTCCCTCCAGTCCCTCCTCTCTCCTCTTCCCTCCTCTCTCGCCTCTCTCCTCTTCCCTCCAGTCTCTCCTCTTTCCTCTTCCCTCCAGTCTCTCCTCTCTCCTCTTCCCTCCAGTCTCTCCTCTCTCCTCTTCCCTCCAGTCTCTCCTCTCTCCTCTTCCCTCCAGTCTCTCCTCTCTCCTCTTCCCTCCAGTCTCTCCTCTCTCCTCTTCCCTCCAGTCTCTCCTCTCTCCTCTTCCCTCCAATCTCTCCTCTCTCCTCTTCCCTCCAGTCTCTCCTCTCTCCTCTTCCCTCCAGTCTCTCCTCTCTCCTCTTCCCTCCAGTCTCTCCTCTCTCCTCTTCCCTCCAGTCTCTCCTCTCTCCTCTTCCCTCCAGTCTCGCCTCTCTCCTCTTCCCTCCTCTCTCGCCTCTCTCCTCTTCTCTCCTCTTCGCTCTTTCCCCTTCGTCTCCCTCTCCTAATCACTGCACCTCCCCCTCCCTCTCCTTCACTTTTCGTCCTCCTTCCTCTCTTTCGCTCTCCTCCCTTATTCTCCTTATTCTTCCCTTTTCCTCTCCCTCTACCTTTTCCCTCGCCCTCCTCCTCCCTATTTCTCTTCCTCGCCTTCCTCCTCCCTTTCCCCCTTCGCCCTCTTCCTCTATCTTTCTATTTGCCCTCCTCCCTCCTCCTTCCTTCCTCCCTCCTCTTCCTCTCCCTCGCCCTCCTCCTCCCTTACTTCTCATGCTTCCCTCTTCCTCTTCCTCTTTCACCTCGCTCTCCTCCTCTCTCTTCATCTCTCTCTACCTTGCCAATGCCACACTATCTATATAGATAAATGAAACAAACAAACAAACAACAGAATTGGGCTAGGATGAACGCCTCGAAGGTCGACCTCGAGTGGTGTGCCCAAACCTCGAGCCATAAACGTTAAGTGAGAATAAAAATTTTGATAACGAAGGCAAACGTGATAATGTTGATGCCGAAGAGAGAAGAGATAAGGATACTGATAACGACGACGATAGGCAAATGAGCATCCAATCAGAGCCGAATAAAAGTCGTGACGTTTCGATCTCAGCCGATGGTTCCTCATCATGCGAAGTAGACACAAAAGGATCAATAGTGAAGATGGTAACGAAAAAAAAGGACAATAATTGTATGATAACAACGACGAATGTGGCAATGATTATAAGACGATAAAGGTAATAAAGTGATAAAGATAATGAGGAAGGAGGGAAGAGAAATGAGGGAAGGTGGAGAAAGGAGGGATGAGGAAAGATGAAGAAAGAGGAGGAGAATGGGAGGAAGGAAGAGGGGGGGGGGGAGAGAGGACGATATGAAATGACAGGGGGGAGGGGGGAATGCCATTCAATACTCGACCTTCTGAGGAATGCTGCTAGGGTGGGATTCCAGTGCGACGGGGGGAGGGGGGATGGGGAAAGAGGAAGAGGGAGAGGGGGTGGGGAAAGAGAAGGGGAGAAAGAAGAGGAAAGGGAATAGTGGGGCGGGAGAGCAAAAGAGAGAGAGGTTAAAAAGAGACCTACAGAGAGAGCGAGACAGGAAGACAGAGAGAATGAGACAAAGGCAGACACCTGTATTCTGAGAAAGACAGAGGCAGGGGCAGAATAATGGCAAACACCTATCGCCCTCCCTCTCCCCCCCCCCCCCCCCCCCCCTCCCCAGTGCGCGCCGATCTTCCCTTCCCTCCTACCTCATTCTCCTCCCGCTACCCTTCCACTCTACTCCTTTCTCTTCCTGGCCCCTCACCCCCCCCACCCCCCATCGGTCCTTATCCCTCCTTCTAATTCGCCCATCCTCCCCCCCCCCTCCCCCCTCTCTTTACCTCTCTCCTCCCCCCTCTCCCTCCCTCCCTCTGACTACTACTGAGCCTAGGTGTATAACGGAAGACCATTTTCATCTCTACGGCATCCAAGCATAGAGGCCAGTTTCCTGTGGTCCCTGAGAGTGAACTATGCCAGGTGACACGGCATGACTGGAGGGTGAAGGGTGGAGGGCGAAGGGCAGGGGGTGGGACCAGGTTGGGGAAGATTGGGGGGGGGGTGGACAAAGGGGACACAGGATGGAGGACTCGGTCGCTTATGGTAAAATAGAGGGAGGCATAGGAAGGGGTGGTAAGGCAAGTGGGGAAGGTATTCGAATACACGCACAAACGTTCATACGCACAAGTACACGCGCGGGAGCGGACGGGGACACACACACACACACACACACACACACACACACACACACACACACACACACACACACACACACACACACACACACACACACACACACACATTCTCTTTCTCTCTCTCTCTGTCTCTCTCTGTCTGTCTCTCTCTCTCTCTCTCTCTCTCTCTCTCTCTCTCTCTCTCTCTCTCTCTCTCTCTCTCTCTCTCTCTCTCTCTCTCTCTCTCTCTCTCTCTCTCTCCATGTCATTCGTTTCCCTTTACCTGTGTTCGTCTCTCTAGCTCTCTACCTTTGCTTCCTCCCACTCCAAAGAGAAAGGAAAACTATGATGCTGCCAATCATTACAAGGCGAAATGGTTTCACGGTAGAAACAAAGACAGTTCCAACTAAGAGCAATTCGAAGGTCAACCTCGGAGAGAGATCGAAGCTCGACCTTCAGCTGCAAAGAAGAGCCATTCCTTGTACTCAC